TAACAAACTGAGTGGCCAAACTTGGACAGCTGGCAATAAAACTAAGGGATAACTGGCTAAATAATAAGGATAGAATAGGAAATACTAGCGATATGGTATAAGATATAGAGCTGATTAGTCTATATAGCTTATAAGATGTACAACATTGTCTATTGTTATATCATTTTACTGTGCATTTTAATGTACAGTATATGTATATGCTCATGGTTTTAATAGCCAGTGGCTATAATAAACTTTTACTTTATTTAATTTTTATTGAAAATAATGTGAATCAGACCATTCCAATCCCGGAGCATTTTCCACATTATTTGTCAACATAGCAAAATCCTACTTTTGTAGTTCAATGGAAACTCTCAGCCCACTTTTCTCTTGATGAGAAGTTAGAGGAGTGTAGTGTTTACTTCGTTTTGCTTACCTCTTGAAGGAATTCATTGAAGACTAACTGGGATTTTGTCATTTTAGCGTTTATTTACAGATGTACAGGCTGAACATAGATGGAAATGAAACTCAGAACACACCAACAGAGAGCCAAAACATACTGTACTTACACTACAGCTTTATGGAAGCAGCCAACATTTGTAAGATTTTTATTGAGGCTCAAACACTGTTTGCTTCTTCTTGTACATGTATACCTAGATTTGCATCCTTAGCCGGTGAGAACAACTGTTTTTGGCTCCTTAACACCAATGGTGGGCAACCTCAGAGAGTCTACAAGCTAATTCTGCTCCCCATGCAGGCTGCATCATGTATTCCAAAAGAAACCATATGTGGCTAGAACTCCCTTTTCAGTTCCAGCCTCCCCAAGATTTTACAAGATTTGTTGTCATGAGAAAACAAATGCACACCAGCTCAACACTTTTCTGTTTTCTTTCCACAGGATTTCTTTCCCAAAGCATTCTGCACTGTTGTCTTTGTACATTGCTATTAGAAATGGAGCATGGAAATAACATATGGGAAACCAGAAGGCACGATATAACACAGAAAACCCTAAGGAGTGCGGGCATTGCTCCTACAGATGGATCTCATTGGGCAGTTAGCAAAGTAGGCAGCTACCCTAGCTTGGGACCACTTTTTGTGTAATTGGGTAGAGATTCAGGCTCTACCTTGTAGCTGTTATATAGTTAGGTACATGATCCCTCCACTCCACTCCTATATGGTATCCTATGAACAGCAGACTTTTAGAAGTCCAAAATACTTCAAAAGCCATTGTGTGTGTTTGAAGTGCCTGTATTTTGCATTCCTAGTCATTGCATGATAAAGTCTGAAGCTCAACATCAAAAAAACTAAGATCATGGCTACTGGTCCCATCACCTCCTGGCAAATCGAAGGGGAAGATATGGAGGCAGTGATAAATTTTACTTTCTTGGGCTCCATAATCACTGCGGATGGAGACAGCAGCCCTGAAATTAAAAGACGCCTTCTTCTTGGGAGGAAAGCAATGACAAATCTTGACAGCATCTTGAAAAGCAGAGACATCACCTTGCCAACAAAAGTCCTCATAGTCAAAGCTATGGTTTTTCCTGTAGGGATGTACAGAAGTGAGAGCTGGACCATAAAGAAAGCTGACTGCCGAAGAATTGATGCCTTTGAATTGTGGTGCTGGAGGAGGCTCTTGAGAATCCCCTGGACTGCAAGGAGAACAAACCTATCAATTCTGAAGGAAATCAACCCTGAGTGCTCACTGGAAGGACAGATCCTGAAGCTGAGGCACTTATACTTTGGCGATCTCATGAGAAGAGAAGACTCCTTGGAAAAGACTTTAATGTTGGGAAAGTGTGAGGGCAAGAGGAGAAGGGGACGACAGAGGATGAGATGATTGGACAGTGTCATCGAAGCTACCAACATGAATTTGACTCAACTCCGGGAGGCAGTGGAAGACAAGAGGGCCTGGCATGCTCTGGTTTATGGGGTCAAAAAGAGTCAGTCATGACATAACGACTGTACAACAGACTTCCCTATACCATTCACTTAACAAAATATTATGAGGCATTTGCCAGTTCTTAGCAATAATCAATCTCTCCACAGTTAACAAATGGCAATATAATTCTCTAAATGACTACTTCCTTTTCAAATATTGATAAAAGTTCTATTTTAGGACATAGAGCTAAATTTATCATTGCTTATTTTATTTATTTCCTTAAAAATACCAGTTACCAATTTTTTGTAATATACTCTCATTCTCATCACATGTAGAAATATGTACCTGTTTTCTGGCAGTCCCCCAAGCCCATCTTTGAATAATTACTATCTATTTGATTGAGTTTCACTGAAGTACCATCTCCAAGCTAATAAAAATTCTCTTTTATCTTTATTTACATTGAGGTTAATACTCTAGTGTTCCACACATTTTTCCAACCACTAGAACGTATTCCTTCTCCCACATCAAATTTGGATAAATCATCTTAATCTTCTACTTCCTGTAGTTTATTATAAATAATACTCATTATACCTTTCCTATCTTGCTATTAACTTTTTTTTTACTTTTTGTGCTATAATTTCCTCGTATTTTGTAAATTCTTTACATTTACCATTTTTACATCCAATTTCCCTGTTCCCTGTTCTAACTGAATAATATTATGCCAAACTAATTCTAAAAACCTTGTCTCTTTATTAATAGAGTCTCAATTAATCTTTTTAGATTTTCTGGGAATTTCTCTAACATCTTTACCAGATAAAATGGGAAAACCTGTGGGGATGAATAATTTTCTATATCTATCCCAAGTTGTTCACATATTTCTAAGGAAAGGATATTCTATTTTTTAACTATATTTTTGTTATCTTGTATGAAGAAAATATTTACCCAGAATCAAATGAAATCATTGTTATTCCTTGATCAATCAGTTTCTTGGGCTACAACACCAGAAATGTCTTAATTGATTGGCAATATAATATAACCTTAAATTAGGAAGTCCTAAACTTCCAACTTTTTGAAATGTATACCATCTCCTCTTATTAATCCTTGATTTTTTGTCTCTACTACAAAACTTATTGATTATATTTTTCCAGTCTTTTAGCTCATATTCACTAATCCTTATCATCATAAATAAAAAAATATTCTTAGACAATATTTTCATTTTAAATGCTGCAATTCTGCCAAACCAAGACTGTCCAATCTTGTTTAAACCTTCAAATTTACTCATGGTTAGTTATTTCAATATTTTGGAATTATCTTATTTCAATCATTCTAAATTACTTTGAATAGTTACAGGTAAATACTTAATAGTCTTTCAGATGTTAACATCCAATTCTTTTTAAATGTTTTATTTCCTCTTTATTATAATCAAAAATCAACATTTCCGATTTATGCCAATTTATGTGTATACCTGTTCCCTTCTCCAAACTTTTTAAAATGTGGTTTTACCTTCTCCATATCTAAATTATTTTCTATTGTTAATAGAAAATATTTTCTATTGTTATTGCCAAATAAACAGATTCTAACTCTATTGCTCGGCCAGTACCGAAAATCTTTCTCTTCTCTAATAGTGTTTGCTAATAGTTCTATAAATAAAACAAACAATACAGAGGAAAGGGGACATCCCTGTCTAGTTCCTCAGCCTAGAAATATTTGTTCTTTTATTCCATTAGTTACTTAATGCTGTTACAGTATTTTCTTAATATAGTTGCTCAATTATCCCTTGAAAACATTTACCAAAAGCTAATACCTTAATCATAATTTTTAATCTGTCATTTCACCGAGTCAACTTTTACTTAAAAATTAATAGTAACTCTTGCTCTTTCATAGCATAAAAAGTACTCAGGGTTCAGGACTGTTTATACAGAAATATTTATAAATTATTTTACTGAATACTGGAAACTTCCAGCTCAGCTGCTAGTCATGTTCAAACTGGAAATGGAACCCCAATCGCAGAAAACATTTGTGGCAGTTTTATTGGAGACCAAAGATTCTGTTTGCTGCCATTCTAGTGCTATTAGTAACTCCTTACCAGGGGAGCAGATTCCAGATTGTAGATCCCATTTTCTAACATTATCCCCCACTTTTTTGAGCAGGCAGGAGATCCATGGGTTGTCAGTCTTTGTCTCTCCATCCACAACCAAGGTGACTGGTGAGTGATCCAGTAAAATTTTGGGAGAGGCTGTGAATACCTACACAATCTTCATTTGAAACCTGCACTCCTCATATATAGGTGGCTGGGCATTTACCTGACTTTAGAACAACAACCTGAAATGGTACCCTTGCCCTCCATTTTTATCTAGAGTTACAGTATGACACTCCAGCTTGTAAGGTGTCTGCTTGTGTCGTAAACACAAAATGGCAATGCATACACAGTCTTTCAAACTTCTGCTTCTCCAGCAGCTATAACATGATGTGTTAATATGTGGCATTTAGCTTTTAAGTTCAGTCCTGTTTTTGCTAAGCTGTGTTCATAGAGCAGCAACTGTGTTTTTTTTTAAAAAAAAAACTGGTACAGTGGTAGTATAAAACAAAAAAAGTCTTTAAATATACATTCTGATGGCACCTTCTGACCTGAACAAATTACCATTTGGCATCTGTATCAAGCTTAGCAAAAATCTATAACACATTTTCTTTCAATTGAGTGGAATTTTTTTTCAGCTAACAAAACTGGTCTCTGAACATTTTTGTTTTATTCCTGATTCTCCTAAATCATATCCTGCTCTTCTCAGATAGTGTTTCCACAAATCATACATCCATTCTGAGAATGAATTAACATACGTACAGTCACAAACATATCTGTTATTCCTCAAACAATTCTGTTTGTCTGACATTGTTCAAAATCGCCCTCCTCCCTCACAAATACGAGTTGAATAACGTAACTAGTATGTCATGGGATAGCATGGATACGCGACATAACTTCGCAACAGTTCAAAATAGTTTTATAATTACAAAATCGTCAAAGATATTGGTTCAACAATAACATAAAGATAGTCAGGAAAATATGCTCTGATTTTGTGATTTGCGATAATGGAGAAAGCTCACCAAGAATTACTTCTAAGGCAAAAAAAAAAAAGCAATGGGGGGTGTCTTTTTTGTGTCTCCTTCTTGGTACTTGGTGCCCTTCCCTGCTTGTGAGAGGCTTGCCTTTGCAGGCTCCTGCTCTCTGTCAAGGCTACTTTGTTGGCTGTGGCACTCTGGTGGTGTTCTTGTTCCTTCAGGGAGTGCTGCTTCCCCCAGGGAGGGGAGGGAGCACAAAGGTCTCGGTGTAGTGCTGGCTGCTGGTGGACAAGGATCTCCCTGAGCTTCTCTGAAACCTGCTCCTCCTCTGGAAGTAGCCACTGTGGCTGCTGTTAAAGGAGCGTTGCCTGTTTCTCAAGTACTCCTTATAGTTTTTGGTCAGCAGGGTGTAGAGGAAAGGGTTGATGCAACTGTTGCTGTAGGTCAGGCAGGTGGTCAGGTAATTGATGTTCCTTGTGGCCTTCTGAGAGACTGGGAAAGGCTCGCAGTATTGGGAGAGGAGCTGCCATATCCAGAAGGGCAAGAAGCAGGCCCAGAAGACCAGCACGATGGCGAAGATCAAATAAAGCACTTTTTGGTTGGGGAGCCGCTTGGTCTCTTTCAAGGAGGTGGTTTGGGACACCCAGTAGGTTCTCGCAAGCCGGATGTAAAGGTAGCCAATGACCACCCCTGGGCCCACAATGCTGGTGCAGAAGAGGACAGTGATGTAGATCTTGTAGGACAGCTTGCTCCACGTTGGGAGGCAGATGTTCTTGCCCCCTTGGACCAGCTGGATCATGATGAGCATGGGGAGGGTGAGAAGGAGAGAGACGACCCAGATGACAAGGGCGATGGCTTTGCGGTAGCTCTTGGACCTTTTCACAGTATCCAAAGGCTTCAGGACGGCCAAGTATCTCTCTGTGCTCATCACCATCAAGGTGAAAATGCTAGCATGCATGGTGAGGAAATCCAAGCTGAAGAGGATGCGGCACCCAGCATCCCCAAAGTACCATTCCTGGATGAAGTAGGTCCCAACAATGAAGGGGATGGTGAGAAGGTAGAGGAGATCTGCTAGGGCCAGGTTGATGATGTAGATGTACATCGAGGCTGAGTATCTTAGGTAGTGGCACATCACCACCAAGGTGTAGACATTGCCCGACACCCCAATAATGCACATCAGGGAGAGGATTGTCCCGAAGGTGCAGGTGGCTATGATGTCCTCCATGGAGTTGTTGGTGGAGGAACCATCCCAGGTGGTGTTGTAGGAAATGTTGAGGTTGATTCTGAGCGAGCTGCCATGATATGTATCTGTAGTCACCATCGTGACTGAAGATACAGTCACCTCCATCTTCTTGAATAATCTAACTAGCCTAACATGTCTTGAGCAGAACAAAGAGTGTTTGTTTCATCTGGGGACACCAGACACTGCAAGGAGGGGAGGGAAGGGAAGGGAAAGATTCCTTAATTCATTTGTAATGAAAAAACAACAGTAGTAGCCGCTCCTTGATGGCCACACACACAGTTAATTTGAGAGAAAGAATATAACAAAATTAGTTAGGCAGAATCATAGAACAGTGGCACTGTACAGGTCTATAGATATTGACTGGTGAATATTTTTGCCTATATAATAGTGTGACACGGTAGAAAAAGACTTGATCTATTCTAATTTTGATCCTCTGTCCATTCAGCTCTTTTCATTATTGCTGCTTGAGAGTGCAGCAACAGATATTATGCAACAGAGCAAATCAGGATTCCACAAGGTAACACAAAAAATGGGGACACCCCAAACAGAAAATTATAATTTTAATATTGGACCTCAAACCTCATGTTTTGCCAAATAATTAATCTCAGGAGGAGAACTTTTTAACGCCTTCCAAGACAAACAGACATGTTAGGTTGTTCTGTCTTCGTACTGCCCCACCTTCCTAACAATAATGCCTTTTCTATTAACTTCTGCTCTGATCTTGCAAACTAACAGCTGCAGCTTCCTCTATTGAGTCAATCCATCTCATGTTAGCTCTTCCTGTTTTCCTGCTGTTCCACCCTACATTTCCCAGGAGTATAATCTATTCTGGCCACTTATGTATTTCTATTATATCTGCATGATAGGATAGACTTGGATTACCTATTGTTGCTCTTTTTGTTCAGGCTTGACTTGATTGAGCAACTCCAACCTCTCCCCCACTTTTAAAAAACAATTCAAAAGGCAAAAGGACATATTTTGGGGGGAAATGCACACAACATGGGATTCTATATGGGAGAAGTTTCTGTTGGAATTTGCGTGTAGTGTGTGTCTATTTAAATTCCCATTTTAGAAAGCCAGAGAATACAATTCTTAAAAAAAAAACCAAAAACTCTCCGGTTTACAAATGTGGGATATTGTGCTTCTTTCTATACCATGATTCAAAAAGCTGCATAATATCGTTCCTGCGTTGCCTGCAGGAAAAACTATGCCAAACTTTACAAAACAAAGGGCTGCCTGAATATTGGCAGCATCAGTGGCAGCAGGCAAGATGGTCTCTACAGGATATCCTCTTCGGCTCACTACCATTCTTGTTGAAAAACAGCCCTGCCCATTGCTTTGTGTTAGGAGTCAACTTCTGAGATTTCCCCTTGTATGGTTTCCCTTTGTGAATGTTAATGAGCAGAAAAGGGTATCCCCAAGACCACCTTGACTGCTGCTATTGGTGTTGTCAATACTTAGGTTGCAGTTCATTTTATAAAACTAGGCATCCTTTTTCTTGCTGGCAACATGGGCACAATATTGTGCAGTAATACGGAGTCATTTCCTGATGTTTTGAATCATGGATTCGGAAGCACAATCTCCCACCTTCACAAACCAGAGGTTGTTTTTTTTTGGGGGGGGGGGGAATTTCATTAAGGAAGTTTATCACACTGCTCTTTTGAAATACTTGCTTTTTATTTGCCATTTCACTATGCCGTAAGACGACTGTGGAAATGAGCAGTCTCCCAGTGTGTTCAGATGGCGTACAGCCAATAGCTAAATTTTAGTAAAACCTAAAGGTTTAGAAACAGTTTAAAAATCAAAAATAGGGTATGAAGTGTTACAACTGAATCTGATTCTGATTCAGAATACGGTGCAAAGATTTGTAAAAGCTCTTGCAGAGGTAGAGTATCATGAGCTAGGTTTGAATTCTGGTAACAACCACAATGATTGTTATTTCTACTAAACAGAGAAATGAGGAAGGTACTGAGACTTGTTGACTTTGATGTTCTCTCTGTCACAATTTCTGCAACAGCAGCAGAGGCTTTTGCAGACAATATGATCACAGCAAGTGCATTGGAAGGAGTGCATGGACACCAAGTGGGAAGGGGCATTTTCTGTACCATATTAGTTATATATTATGGATGGGACTGTTTGTTTGTTTGTTTGTTTTTAAATACTGTGGATTTCACTGCCCTGTGTTCTGTGAAAAGCATGGGTGAAATTTTTTAAATAAATAAATAACATTTATTATTATATCATCAAGGTGATTTTATAAATAATTTCTACAAGTTAAGAGGTTGGTTTACAGTAATAGGATTTCTCATGCATCTTGTCAACTGTGTGGAGTGTTTGCATATGTTTCATTTTGGAAAAGAGATTTAGTGGGCCTGAAGGCTGCTGGCAGGTTTTATCAGGACACATCACTTGGCTTGTGGGTGTTGCGAGTCATCAAGTCACCAACTTACTGTGATTCTGATAGGGTTTTAGGGTATGTGAGATCTTTAAATGGCTTTATCAGTTCTACTCTCCCTAGTGAGTTTCCATTGTCTTTCCTCAGCCTATCACTTTATCAACTACGTCACACTGGGGTGCCGGTAGCTTAATAATATTAAGTACTGCATTTACTGCAGCCCAAATTCTGCTCGTGACCTGGGTTCAATCCCCGGTAGCAAGCTTGAGGTTCATTCAGCCCTCCATCCTTCCCAGTTTGGTAAATTGAGTATCCCGCTTGTGGTGGGGGGAACGGGGGGAGGGCTATGTGTAGCCTGCATAATTAAATTGTTAACCACCCAGAGAGTGCTTTAAGCACTATCAGGAATATAAGCAGCACACTTTAATGTGCTGTCAAGTCGATTCTGGCTTATGGTGTCTCTTTACAAGGTTTCTAGTCCTCACATATCAACTCAGATGTACGTCCCACTGAGTTCAATGGAGCCTACTCCAAGGTAACGTAAAGGTAAAGGTTCCCCTTGACAATTTTTGTCCAGTCATGTTCGACTCTAGGGGGTGGTGCTCATCCCCGTTTCCAAGCCGTGGAGCCAGCGTTTGTCCGGAGACAATCTTTCGTGGTCACATGGCCAGTGCGACTTAGACACGGAACGCTGTTACCTTCCCACCGAGGTGGTCCCTATTTATCTACTTGCATTTGCATGCTTTCGAATCACTAGGTTGGCGGGAGCTGGGACAAGCGATGGGTGCTCACTCCGTCACGTGGATTCTATCTTATGACTGCTGGTCTTCTCATCACCCCGGCCAACCTAACCGGTGGAGAAGAATTCTGGGCATTGTAGTCCAACAGCATCACTCTTTGCCAATCCCCATATGAACACTAATATTATTACATCATAAGATATGAGAAGGGCGGGGGGTTTAAAGAAGAAACACGAGCTGGTTAGAGAGAGACACCAGATAGAACTACTCATTGTGTCCGTTCTGACTTCTCGTGACCCTTTCCAGGGTTTTCTAGTTAGAGAATATACAGAAGTGGTTGACCATTCCCCTTCTTCTGGGGCCACCCTGGGATGGTGTAATTTGTCCAAGGCTACTCCAGCAGCCTCTTCTCCCTGGAGACACAGTGGGGAATTGAACTCACAACCTCTGGCTGCACAGCCAGAAACCTAACTGACTAAGCTATCAAGCTAAGCCAGTGGCCTAGGCTCATGCTAATAAATAAATTGGAAAACTGATAGGCCTTAAAGACCAGCAACTGTTTGGATGACAATCTCCTCCTCCTATCCTAAGACCCTTCTCTTCTTCTCTATCCAATATGATGTTTTAAATGTCCATGAAAATTTAGGGAGCTGTAATGAAGATTGTTTGGGAAAAAGACAAAACTGGATTAGAGTGGATTTACATTGCAAATCTGTATTTATTCCCATTTTATTTATTTGTAGCCAAATACAAGGCAAATCGCCCCTGAATCATCTGTTTCCTTATTCCAAGGAAAGAAAACTTAGTGTAAGTACTGGAACCTATTGCAGTCTTCCTGTCCATAGAATCTGGGGGCACAAAACAATATTGAAGCATACTTATTGTATTCTGAATCTATGACTCCATTTGTTCTGAGTTTGTTAAAAAAAATAGCTGATGGCCACGATCAAGCAAAAAATTATATATCATCAGATTTTGACAAATTGGGAAGAGATTAAAGTCTCCAGATTAGTAGCCGCTATCCAAAAGTTGAGAAGAAGCTTTTAATATGGTGAATGACATAATTTGATGTTCTCAGGGTACATATGTCTTGTGTTTTTTTAAAAAATATGTATATGACATCCTTAATGCTTATTTTTGTATTTTTTTATCCTTTTAGCATTGTTAAGCTCTTTGTCTATTTACTGAGACTTTCAAGATAAAGATGCATTCTGATTCCCCCCCCCCTGAAAAAGTATGGAGGTACTTGGAGAAATTCTTTCATTCTTTAAATTTGTGGGGGGGTTAGGGTTGATATAGATGTGTACAGCTTAAAAAAAAAGATTTGGTATATTGGCATGGATATGGCCATGACAGTAGAAACAGCAATAGACTTCAAATATAACATTTACAGAATTGTACCAATTCTCTAGTAGTCGTCTATTTGTATTAACTCTCACGAGTCATCTGGAAAACACACATGGGAGCCCTTTCATTCCTTCCTCAGTATTTCCCAGGAGCAAATTAAAATTCCTTTTCAGACTTTCATGGAGAGGGGAAATCTCCACACTGAAATCTGTGGCCACTGTGAGTGTCATCAACATTCATTCAATACTGACCTTTGTTGCCCAGTAGCTAAACAATTCCTTACGATACAACAGAGACACATAATCTGGATCCAGCAGAGGGCTGGCAGCTATTTATTATCATTTCACACTGACAGCTACTTCCCACCAGATACAGCGAGCACAGGATTTCCCAGTATATGCTTGTTTCTTCTAGTGGTATGAGACCTACCGTATATTCCTAAGAGTCCCTGCCCTTAAAACAACCCTGACAGTTTGTAACTGCCTAGGAACACATTTGCAACCCAAGTTAGGGCAACTAAATCAGAGTATTCATAGACAACAACTCCTGGGCTATCTATTCAGTACACTTACTTGTCATGTAGAACTCATGGAGACCAATCGTATAAATGTTTTCTGAGACATAAAGCCCATTCACAATAATGAGAATTTCAAGTAAGTCTGTCTAGTTTGCAGTCCTAGTGCAGAGAAACATTTCCTTCTTCCTAATCTATTCACTTCATGCATTTAAGTTTGTTATTTGGATTGTTTGGGAAGACACCCAGAGATCCAAGCAATTACCTGTTCAATGGAGAAGCACAGATATTCCTGAAATGTAGTGCAGAAGAAGATAAATTAGGCAATGTTTGTTAAGTAAGGGAGTAAGCATGCCTAAAATCAAGCAGAGAACATGTAAGTAGACAATAGCATACACAGATAAATTAGTATTACACTTTGCACCAACTGACCATACTGTAACATCACAGAAAGAGAAATTCTTGCCTCTCAACAATGACTTTATGATGGATGATCAACATAGGAAACCACATAGTAACACAACAGCAAACAACAACAACAACAAGAAGAACCATTCCAGATCCAAACCTGATTTCAGTGAAATCCAGCTGATGAAGTTTTTTGCCTGGGGAAATCCTACGATCTGAAAAGGCTTGCTGACGCATCTAAAGGACCTTTGTGGACTCAAAGAACCAGCCGAAGTCTCGGTGCTCAGAGCATCTGGAATGGTTGTGTGCAAAAAAAGAGAGCTACCTAGCCAAGTATGTTTGAAATTTGTGCCCTCCCAGTCTTTGCATTCATTCATGCTGCTTGGTGACGTTCAGCAGCTGCAGCAGGCTGGCTGTGGAAATGGATAGCTTTTAAAGAAGCAGCATCAGAGTTCTGAAAGCCAAAGGCAGGTGATTGCAAGGCTTCTACCTGCTAGTCCAAAAGTCAGTGAGCCATGCAAACACGTCAGTGCTGTTTCCTCTTCTCTTAGAGAAACTGCAAGGGTTACTTAAACATTCATTGAAATGCCCCTAACCTTTTCTTAAGCTGTTAGGGGTGTGTGTGTGTGTGGGGGGGAAATAATCCCCATATTCTTCACATATACTTGAGGGGAGAAAGACAGGAAAGCTTCTCTCTAAGAACAGGATATGTTCTTGTAGGAAAAGAGTGTTTGCACTTCGATTTATTTCAGAAAGGAGCTGAGATTCATTTGGATCAGATGACTTATTGACAGCTCAGTGGCTGTGAAGGTATCCAAAGTGACATCTTTTGGACACATTGCCTTGATGCTAAGAAGCAACGGTCCAATATTTTTCAGGGTAGGAGTATTTGACGTTGGCAGAAGTAAAGGTGGAGAAAACAATGGAAACTTCCCTTAATATTTGAGTATCTGAAAATAAACATTTTGTACTGGTTGACATGATTTTATACAATTAGTCAATTCCTCTAATTATTGTGCATCAAGCTATAAATACTGAGTTAATTTTAATCTCCCATCTATACAGATCGCTCTATTGGCATGTGGCCACCTTCAAAATCTCATCAGGCCTCTGAAACAAAACAAAAAAATCAAAAATTTAAAAGAAGAAGAAGACTAAACCACAGAGTCATTTAGCTGGGCAGAAGAGAAGGGCCCCTTTGATTAGCTGATCGCATTACTGAACTAGAGAAATATTGTGCTTCCCTTGTCTACCTGGATCCCTCTGAAAGAAAAAAAAATTATTGCTTTTTAGTTACAGAATTTTGTTTACCTGCCTCGAATAGGATGGTGAAGAACAAGCACTGTGAGACTGTATCTTCAGTTAACCCACACTCCCTTCAAAGGGTGTACTTTGAATAACTGGGTGGCAGCCAGAAGGGAGGAAGCAGCAGAGGTTCATAGGAGAGACTGTCAGATTTGAGTAAAAGGAGAGGCCATGGAAGATGTAGAGTCTTATGTGTAGAGGGAACCCTCTTGTCTTTTAACATTTTAAAATAGATTTTGTGATTTTCAAGAGCTAACTTATTCATGTGTACCTAGAAAAATTAATGAGTCCACATGAGCAACTACCTATTAATAAAATTAACATAATGTGCAGTCAGGCCCTTAACCTTGAATCTATAGTGATAAATTAGTGATAACTTTCAATCTACTGTGGTATATTAGTGATAGAATTAGTGTAGTAAAGTGGGTTGAGCTGGCACAGTCTTTATTTCAAATCTCAACCCAGCCACTAACTTAATGGGAAGCCTGAGGAAAACAGTCACTTCCACATCTACCCTCTGTCTCCTTTACCCATAATCTGGGAATTACTGGATTTATTTACATAAGTATTGCAAGAATTAATGAGGTGATGAATGTGAATAGGTTTTTAGAGTGTAGGAGAAGTGCTGTATATTATTATATGAGGGCAAATGGGAAGGAAGGAAGGAGAAAAAAAAACACATTTTGTTCAAATGAGGTAACATCTGAACCTGAATGACTTCTGTGTCAGGAGCTGATCTGTAATAGGAATGAATAGGTTAAGCCAACAGTGGTAATATTTAGTTCAAATATCAGTGATGAGAGCTGAAAATATTTGGTATTTTAGGATTTATTATGTGGTTTCCTAACTTCTATTACCATAAGCAAACAAGTAAAAAGAGAGTTGGAAATAAAAGATTGCTATGGTTGCCGAAGTAAACCAGGATGGATATCTTGCAAGGACAGATTTGGAATTGCCTTAATGAGAGGTGCATATGTGGACGACTCCCTCATCTGTCTGGTTTTCAGCAGGATCCTTTTTCCCTTGGCTAATGAAGCCTTACATTGGTGGGCTTTCCCGCCTCTCGTTCTTTCTCTTCATCTCTTTATCTTTTTTAGACATTTAGAGCTGGCTTTGTCATGATGCAGGCAGACCTTATTATATAGGGCTACCTGAAATATACTAGATTTCGTTGCTTGCTCAGCTCTGACCTGAACTTCAGCCTGAATTTGCATGCCGCTCACAAACACAACCAGTCTTTCAATCCTTTTTATCTGCACCACAGATTCTGCCCTACACAGGTGAGCTTGAAGTGGTTCTGCTGCCATGCAGAAAATGGTTGGAGAGAGTTCTTCTTGAGACCATGCACTTAAAACTCATTTCAGATCAGCCTCTGCACTGGTCTCCTCATGCAGCTATCACTGGAAAGAATACCAAGGAAGAATACAAATACATAAAATAATGTTGTCTCTTGACTGCTTTAGTGTGCTCTGCATGTCATCAGCATGTTTGTTCTGCAGATAGTATAGCCGCAGGATGACAGTGCAAAATTAAATTAAATCTCTAAATGCCCTCTTCCTAATTCACTGCAGATACCTCTCTAACCTGTTAGAATTTCTGACAACACAGCACGTGTCACATATTTTATGGATTTCATTTTGAAACGCTGACAGCTAAAAACTTCTTTGTTTACGGTGTGGATATGTATGTCTAACTGTGTGGTTTTGCCAGGGTGAGGTATGCGTGAAAATGGGTATTGTTAACTGCTAATGTGTTTCCAAAATTGGAAACAAGTTTTTATTTCTGTGAACAGAAAGAGAAAAGAATTCAGAGAAACTTAGGGTGTGATTACATGGGGGGAAAGAGCAATTTGGACTGTTTCTGGAACCATCAGGTGTTATCCAATTCAGAGAAACTTAGGGTGTGATTACATCGGGGGAAAGATAGCAATTCGGACTGTTTCTGGAACCATCAAGTGTTATCCATTTCCAGGTGATCACATGACATACACGGAATTGTGTTTCAGCCTGACCCTGGTCCACCTCCAGCTTTTTTGGTGTAGACTACAGTGATTCCCCAACAGACAGAAGGGTTGCTTTAAGAAAGATCCCTCCCTATGTGGAGATCTCCCTCACTGTAACGTTGAAATATAACTATGTATACTAGGATTTAGCAATTGTATAAAGACAGTCAATGAATTTCATGTGTATAGCAAAAGTCCAGTAATACTGTCCCTCAATTAAACATGGGAAGACATTGTCTGAGAAGTGTAGAGACGCATCTTCCCTACCTTTTAGCAAAGGTATGATGAAAGCAATAAAAATACTCATGCTCCTTCCTGAAGGATGATCAAAGGGACATCCTGAAAAAAAGGAATTTGAAAGGAACATCCCTGAGAATATGAAAGGGACATCCTGGGAAAGAAAGTTCAAAGGAATACCAATTTAGATTACTTATTTTTGGCCCTTTGTTTCCTGCATAGCCATGTACTATCTTCAGTTCTGTAGACTTTCTTTTGGCTCTCTCTACCGGCCCATTATTGAACAAATGCTCTCCTAACCCTGCAATACACCTTCTTACAAATTCTTAACTACCCACCTGCAAGGAGACCTTTTTTTCCCAGTGCAATTTGATGTGTTTCTTTCCCACCATTTGATTGCACCCTGAGTTACTTTCTTGGAAGCCTGGGGAATGGTTGAGGCAGGAGCTTCTAAGGGCGGAGTACTCGCGATGGATCAGCTTGTTGTTGAGAATTTGTAAAAGAGATGTTTTGTCCCCCTTCCCCATTCACTCCAGTGTGAATTTCTGATTTGCTTCCTGCCAAAAAGATCTGAACTCTCCTGGAGTAAATAGAGATGGGCACAAACCGAACTGTGAACCAGAAAAACCAGTAAATCCGGCTGATCCATGGTTCAGTTCACAAGCACCACCCTGGGTTTTTTTGCCTCCGTTCTTCATTTTCCTTTGGCCAAATGGATGCCCACCAGCCCCCTTCCCACTGCCCCTATTGACTCCCTACCTAGTCCTGCTGCCACTGCCACTGCCTCATCCCTCCTCTGCCACTTCTTCTGCGGTTCAGTTCACAACCCAGTTTGGGGATCCCGTTTGCCAAAGCAGAACAAAGCACCGCCCTGTTTTTTTGCCTCCATTCTTCATTTTCCTTTGGTAAAATGGATGCCCACCAGGCTCCTTCCCACTGCCCCTATTGCCTCCCTACCTAGTCCTGCTGCCACCACCACTGCCTCATCCCTCCTCTGCCACTTCCTCTGCTGCCATCCTCAGAGACAGTGGGCCCAGCTTCCCTTCCAGCAGCCCACTGCCCCTGCACATGTGCCCACCACCCGGCTGATAGGGGGGCACATGTGCAGAGGCAGTAGGTTGGCTTCTTGAAGGGAAGCCGGGCTCACTGTCTCTGAGGTTGGCAGCAGCAGAGGCAGGACCAGGTAGGGAGGTGACGGGGCAGTGGGAAGGGGGCAGGTGGGCAGATGGTCGCCCCTGCCAAAACCTGAAAAATGAACTTTGAACTGGCATGTTTTTCATAGGAGAGGTCATGATGGTTCATAGTTCATGGATAGCCACGAACCATCACAACTCACTGGTTTTCTGGTTCCTGCCCACCTGTAGCAGTGAATAAATTGAGTTTTTTATGTTGAGTTTTTTTAGTGCATCTCTCTATCTTTCCAGCACAAATGCTCCTTTCAATTTGATACATTTCCTGCCTTGTTGAGTTCTGATTTCATTCACTTTTTAGCTATATTGGTGAAATAGCTGTGAATTCCATTCCAACCTGAAAAATGAACTTTGAACTGGCATGTTTTTCATAGGAGAGGTCATGATGGTTCATAGTTCATGGATAGCCACGAACCATCACAACTCACTGGTTTTCTGGTTCCTGCCCACCTGTAGCAGTGAATAAATTGAGTTTTTTATGTTGAGTTTTTTTTAGTGCATCTCTCTATCTTTCCAGAACAAATGATCCTTTCAATTTGATACATTTCCTGCCTTGTTGAGTTCTGATTTCATTCACCTTTTAGCTATATTGGTGAAATAGCTGTGAATTCCATTCCAATAACAGAAGAATGGGGAGAAATCACATCTATTTTTATA